TACTGTGAAGGACAGGACCAATTTCTTGTTCGTTTTTCTTTTTGAACCAGGTTACACAACCCCAGCGAGCGAGGACACAACAACATTTACCGAATCGGTGCCTGGTTTAATGTACAACAGTAAATGATCGCCCTTATATTTGAACCAAATATTTGAACCGTATATCTCCCGTGACGACGAGGGCCGAAATATCGTGCGTAAAAATCTAATTCGTCCATAAAATTCGCGCCCGTTTCTCATTTTCAACCGCGTGCGTCTGTGGGAGGCGATTACTGCAGAAAATGATGGAACAACCAAAAAACCAACATCGCCAACCCCTTGAAACCCTTCGTCTCGTTCCCTCCCTCCCTCTCTCTCTCTCCCCGACTCTCCATCTCTCTCTGGTGCGTTCCAAACAGATACAGCCGAGGCCGCCACGTGTTCCCGAGTGCGTGTCACGGCCGATGCGGGCGAATTGTCCCACTGCGTTGCGACACCCCAAAGGGTTGGGGGGTGGTGGTGGCGGGGTGTGCCAGGTGGCGGCGAGGTTGTTTGGAGGTGGGGTTGGTGGTTGTTGGTTTTGTTTCGAGTTGTATAAGGTAGGGCACGGTATGCTGGAGGAAGGAAAGGTGGGGGGGGGGGGGTAGTTTATGTAGGGTGCTATGTGGAAGGTGTATTTAAGTAGGATACAATGAGGATAATACACTACAATTGTATAGGACAGCGGATCTTACACCAGTGGGACGCGCCTCTTTTCCCGTGGAGGAGGGTGGGTTTCTGCACGGCTATAGTGCAGGAGCAATTTAGAATGAGCGCAGGGAAACATTGCACCCCCCCCACCACCACCCCTCTATTTGCGGCGACAAAACACAGCGAATGCACAAACAATTGCCTTACTAATTGATTCGAGGCGTGATGGACATGTGACCTCTCTGCACTGTGGCCTTAGTCACCTGCGTGTGGAAGGGGCGGAGGAGCACGGGAACCAGTTGTCTTGATTGGGGTCCGCAATGCAAATCACTTTTGAATCAATGATGTAGGGTATGGTACGGCATTAATACAAATTGCGTGTAGTTTATGTCAGAGTGGTGTATGGTGAAGTAGGGAGAGGGTATGTTTAAGTATTACACAGTTGGGATTGTTACATTATGTTGGTGTATCGGTATGGATAATGTAGGATAGGGTGGTTATGCATGAGTATTGTGAGAGTAAGAATAGAGTATGGGTAGGATTGGGTAAGGGTCGTTATTAGGGGTAGAACGATGTATACATTCATTAATTACTATTGATTGTAAATTGTTAAAGCTCGCGATCCATGCAATGAATCGCATGTGAAAGAATCAATGCTCCTTTTAAATTGATGTATGTTGAATGTAAAGGGTTCGTGGAACCTCTGCAGCAGCTAGAGGCCACTATATTCATCACAATAATAAAATAATAAATTCACGAATAGAATCACAACTTTTAATTGTTAAAATAATTTAAATCCCAAGAGGGTGTGGAGAATTGTTACAGGCTGACATGATAATAAGGCTAGGGTATGAATAGGTGGGATAGGGTGGCAGTAGATATGCAGGGTATGATATGGTGGGGTAGGGTATTACTAAGTGGGATAAATACAAAAAATAGAATAGGGTAAAGGTATTTATCGTGGTAGAATTTATACATTTCAGCAAGGTTTTCGATTGCATAGATAAATCCCACATAAGGTCATGCGGAGCTATGGCATATAAAATATATTCATCAGTGCCATGAATGATAGTTATGAAGGTTCATTGTGCTACATCAAAGCAGATACTGGAAACAACGATTGGGTTGATATTGTGAGCAGGGTCAGACATGACTGTCCTTGGTTTGATATTCAGTGGCATTAAACAGGGCTGTATAATTTCACCCTTTCCTTTTTCAACTGGTGGTTGGACTGTTCCACACAAAATTCTGTGGATATAATGAAACAAAATAGTGCTGTGAGATTATCAAAGGAAGATTTACTAACTTATACTTTAGGAAACGACCAACAATATTGCAGAAAATTAAGAGACAGTGGGTCTGAACATTTGGAAAATACTAAGTTTATGGAATGAGACACGAATGAAAAAATCTAATCATAAGAAAATAAATATATTAAAATTGGTTTCCTCTCAGCATAACTTAGAAAACTAATTACACATAACACCATCAAAAATGAGGTTAACATTAAAATTAGATGGGCATATAATGCATTTCAAGAAGTATATATTTGAACAGTAAACGTCTCAGCATAAAAAAAGCTACACACATTGGCATTTTTTACTAATGCAATCTGACCAATAAATGTTCTAAATTGAATCTTATAAACCAAGATGTGGATGTGTAACTCCAATGTGCTTGTTGTCTGGTTATATGGAACCAAAAATTTACCAATTATTGAAATTAAGTAAAAAATGTGTTTTGATAGCATATATCAAAGTAAAGTGATGGGAATAAAATGTCAAGTCACCAACATAAAACTTCGAGAATGCATGGGACAGAGAATACTTCAAAATTATGAGAATTCTGAGTTTTGGTCAGGTCATGGAAATGGAAAGGAACAGAATAGCAAATATTTTTTTAGAATGGTTACCAGGAAGAAATACAATAAGAAGACAGAAAAATCTGGAAAGACACCATGAAAGATTACTGCGTGGAGAAGATGTTCACCACGTAAGTTGAGACTGTAGTGGCGGAACTGTATCAACTCATGCTTCGAGGTGTGGTAAACATTACATAAGTTATGTAGGGTAGGGTATGGTGGGGTAGGATTAGGAGTGGAATTTCCTCAGCCTGCTGATACACAACTGCCCTTTGTGAGGCAAACGTTTACTATTCGTAGACATGGGAGACAATGAAGGAAACTTGACAGGAACGACAGATACAACACCTACTGTAGTGTAATAGTGAGGCTCACACGGGTAAAGCAGGGCCAAATTGAGGGTATGGGACGATGGATCCCCAACACACAATAACTCGATTGCACCTTACCTCCCACCATGACTTACTAGGAGCTAAAGTGCAATAGGAATGTGCTGTAATGGAGCCCTTAGGGGTAGGGGAAATTAGGGTGGAATAAGGCTAGCAATAGGGTGAGACAGAGATGTAACAGGTCTGTAGGGGTAGGTAAGGTGGGGGAGCGAATCAGGGTCGGAGATATGGTGGCATGTAGGTGTGCGGTGTGGTGTTGTGGGTCTCTAAGGGTTAAAGTAAGGTAGTAAAATGTCGGATAGGGGTGTATGGTTTCTAGGGATGAGGTTTGGTTGGTTCGATGGTATGTCAATGGCAGGTTATGTGGGATATGGGTATCAAGTTTGGTATGACAGAATCAGAATCTTTATTTTTCCTGGAGAAATTCAATGAGCCTTGAAGCTCTTTTTCACAGATGTCTAGTATTTTCACAGATGTCCAATAAACAGATTACGGTGTCCCAATGGGTGGGATCACAGTGGGAATGTAAGTGGCATAGAGGTATGGCCACCACTGGATGAATGCTTCTCTATGCCATGTCGGTCGTGTGAGTTGTTTGACCGTCTTTCGCCACGCTGGTCATTGGCGTGGGGATCAGGGGACATTGGTGTTTTTTTGCAGGGCTGGGTAAGATATCAGCTCAGATATCAGTCGCCACTGATGCTAGCCGTGGCCTGTTAGCCGTGGCCTAGAACTCAACTGTGCGCTAACTATTGTACCACCACGCCAGTGGGAAAGTAGGTGGGATAGGGGTATTATTAAGGTTATGGATGGGTTGCTCCGGGTGGATAAGGTGGGGTTGGCATCAGAATTGGGTGATGGTTGGGTGGGATAAAGATGTGGTGCGGGGTGGCCTTCCTCGAGGCAGGGGGGGGTGGGGGTAATGTTGAGTGGGGTGAGGGTGTGTGGAGGGTTCGTTAGGCGAGATGCAGAGGGTTTATTACCCTACAGCACTGTCCGTGGTGTGGCGTGTGCAAGGTTTGGGGGGTGAGCTCGGGCGAGACTGTGGGGGGTGGGGAGGGGGTGAGGTGGGTGGGGGGGTTGAGGTGGGGAAGGGGCATGAGGTGGGTGGGGGGGGGGTAGAGGTGGGTGGGGGGTGGAGATGGGTGGGGGGGGGTGGAGATGGGTGGGGGGGGGTGGAGATGGGTGGGGGAGGGGTTAGAGGTGGGTGGGGGGGGGTAGAGGTGGGTGGGGGGGGTAGAGGTGGGTGGGGGGGGTTTGAGGTGGTGGAGGGGGTTTGAGGTGGTGGAGGGGTTTGAGGTGGGTGGAGGGGTTTGAAGGTGGGGGGGGTAGAGGTGGGGGGTAGAGGTGGATGGGGGGGTAGAGGTGGGTGGGGGAGGGCTTGAGGTGGGGGCTTGAGGTGGGGGGTTGAGGTGGGGGAGGGGTTTGAGGTGGGTGGGGGGGTGGAGGTGGGTGGGGGGGTGGAGGTGGGTGGGGGGGGTGGAGGTGGGTGGGGGGGTGGAGGTGGGTTGGGGGGGGTGGAGGTGGGTTGGGGGGGGTTGAAGTGGGGGAGGGGTTTGAGGTGGTTGGGGGGGAGGGGTAGAGGTGGGGCGGGGTAGAGGTGGGTGGGGGGTAGAGGTGGGTGGGGGGTACAGGTGGGGAGGGGTAGAGGTGGGGAGGGGTAGAGGTGGGTGGGGGGTAGAGGTGGGGAGGGGTAGAGGTGGGGAGGGGTGGAGGTGGGGGGGGGGTGGAGGTGGGTGGGGGGGTGGAGGTGGGTGGGGGGGTGGAGGTGGGTGGGGGGTGGAGGTGGGTTGGGGGGGGGTTGAAGTGGGGGAGGGGTTTGAGATGGTTGGGGGGGAGGGGTAGAGGTGGGTGGGGGGGTAGAGGTGGGTGGGGGGGTAGAGGTGGGTGGGGGGGTAGAGGTGGGTGGGGGGGTAGAGGTGGGTGGGGGGGTAGAGGTGGGTGGGGGGGTAGAGGTGGGTGGGGGGGTAGAGGTGGGTGGGGGGGTAGAGGTGGGTGGGGGGGTAGAGGTGGGTGGGGGGGTAGAGGTGGGTGGGTCTCCTCACCTCCCCTCCCCCTCGACGCCCCTCCCCCACCCCCCACCGCTCTCCCCGTCCCCCTCCGCACTGCGATCCGCGGCGCCCGCGGCCGCCGCTCACAGAGAGCCCCAGCGCCGCGCCGCGTGGATGGACGATCCAGGTGGGGGAACGATGATCGCTTTTTATTGTTTTTACCGTTACACAGACAAACGTCACCATTGAGGATGTTGCCGCTTTCGTTCTCGCCGATGGCGTTGAGCAACGCGGAGCACACGAGGCGCATAGGCAGGGAGAGGAGAGGAAGCGCGCACACGTGTTGGTGGTGGTGTAGCAATGGGGGGTGTCTCTCTCTCTCTCTGGGTGGTTGTGTGGCAGCAGCAGCAGCTTGAGAGGGACGAGGCGAGTGTTGGGCGCTCCTGGAGGATGCTGCTGATGATTGTGCTGCTGCTGCTGATTGTGCTGCTGCTGCTGATTTTGCTGCTGCTGCTGATTATGCTGCTGCTGCTGATTTTGCTGCTGCTGATTTTGCTGCTACTGCTAATGATTTTGCTGCTGCTGAATTTGCTGATGCTGCTGCTGATGCTGCTGCTACTGATTTTGCTGCTGCTGATTTTGCTGCTGCTGATGATGATTTTGCTGCTGCTGATGATGATTTTGCTGCTGCTGATTTTGCTGCTGCTGCTGATGATTTTGCTGCTGATGATGATTATGCTGCTGCTGATGATTTTGCTGCTGATGATGATTTTGCTGCTGCTGATGATGATTTTGCTGCTGATGATGATGATTTTGCTGCTGATTGTTTTGCTGCTGATGATTTTGCTGCTGATGATGATGATTTTGCTGCTGCTGCTGATGGTTTTGCTGCTGATGATTTTGCTGCTACCACCCCAGCCACGAGCCGGGGCAGTGGGGGGGGAGCTCTGCTCTCGACTTGATGATGTTGATGATGTGTTGATGATGTGTTGATGTGAGATGGCAACAAATGTCGCGATTACGATGTGTATCCGACGAACGGCAAATGTAGCATCCGCGACTCTCATGGGTTTACCGTCACACACACATTCACACGTGTTATATATATCTGCACACACACACACACGGATGCTGTAAACTGTTGTGTATTTATACACGGCAGACGCATGTATACTGCCTTGTGTATACAGTAACACACGCTGCAGGTATGCAATTGCAATGTACAGTCCTCCGTCAATCCACTGCTGGATGAATGCCTCGCCACGCCGTCCGTGTGGGTCGTGTGGGTTTGTTTGACTGTACATCGCCACGCTGTGGTCATTGGTGGTGGTGGGTTCAGATTTCATTCGTCACCGATGTCAGCCGTGCTCTGGAACTGAACCAAGGTAGCCGGGTCTGTAGCGCAGTGCGCCAATTGATGTACCACAATGCCAACGCGCCATGTGCGTGTACCACGACTTGTACCTCAACAGAGGAGGTGGATGGAGGCACGGAGATGGAAGAGATGCAGGAACATGGAAGGGCGGGGGGGGAGGTGCAAGGATTGTCGGGAAGAGGCAGAGAAATTAAGGGAGATAGAGAGATGCCCGGTTGATGGATAGGTGCAGGCAGATGAAAGAGATTCAGGGAGATGGAAGAGATGCAGGGAGATGGAGACATGCCCAGGAGATGGAGAGATGCCAGGAGATGGAAGAGATGCCGGGAAATGGAGAGATCCAGGGAGATGGAGAGATTCAGGGAGATGGAAGAGATGCCGGGAAATGGAGAGATCCAGGCAGGTGGAAGAGATGCAGGGAGATGGAGGAGATTCTGTGAAATGGAGAGATCCAGGGAAATGGAAGAGATGCCGGTTGATGGAGAGATGCCTAGGAGATGGAAGAGATTCAAGGGGATGGAGATATCCAGGGGGATGGAGGAGATGCCGAGAGATGAAGAGATGCAGGGAGATGAAGAGATGCCGGGAGATGAAGAGATTCAGGGAGATGAAGAGATTCAGGGAGATGAAGAGATTCAGGGGGATGGAGAGATTCAGGGAGATGAAGAGATTCAGGGGGATGGAGAGATTCAGGGAAATGGAAGAGATGCCGGTTTATGGAGAGATTCAGGGGGATGGAAGAGATTCAGGGGATGGAGAGATTCCGGAGGTGAACCAGGGAGACGGAGGGATGAAGGGAGGGGGGTGGATGCAGGGAGATGGAAGAGATCCCGGGGGATGGAGGAGATGGAGGTGAACCAGGGAGACGGAGGGATGAAGGAAGGAAGGAAGGGGGGGCATGCAGTGATGCATGGAGAGATGGAGGTGGCGCTCGGGAACTCCCCGCGTGTCTTGCCCGGGCAGAGCCGGGCAGGGACGGCGCCGCACGTGTCCACACTCGCCGAGAGCCCTGGGGCGACAAGCTTCGGCTTGGGCTCCTCGGAATCTGAATAAGAAAAAGGAAACTTAAGATAGATTTCAAACGTACGTGTACATAAATACTGTCGACAAAAAAAATACCCACCCCAACCGTAATTCCCCACTCGAGTTGCAGTGCCATTGATGCAGCATGCACACAGTCGTATACAAGTGGCACGGTGGTTGTGCTTGTTTGTATTTGGCTTAAATGTTGTCACTGGATGCCTAAGTAGGATACAAGTTGTCTATTTTAGGACGATGATCAATTAGCGATCCATCACAAAATCGAAAGTCTGTACAGGAGGCAGCTGAAGAAGCGATGCTAAGCCGGACAATTTTGACAATTCACACTTCTTAATTAAGTTCCTTTATACGTACAATAGAGAGTTGTTTTAATTGCCAGCATTTTTTAAAATCCCATTTGTGAACAAAAAAAATGTTTAAAATTATGCCTTTCATTATAATCAGACCAAAGGCCATTTGGGACATTCAGTCCCTTTTGCAAAGGAAACATGAGATAAAGACAAGTTGTAAATTGCACTACTTTAAGTGTTTTCATTAGCTCTGAGGCGATTGGAATCTTTTTTTATTCGGCAAATGCAAATTCCAGCAGTGTATTGCACATTCCTGTATTCGTATCTGGTACAGTAGATTTTGAGAGTGTTAAATACCGTGTGCATCCCAATCAATGTTCTGTAGTTCATTGTGAAACGTATAACATTGTCGAACTCAAAATTGTAGATGGAGAAGCTATGGCAAGTTGTTTAGCATAATGCCCTCTGAACTTGCCAATACTGTACTGTAACATTATTCCCCGAGTTGAGAATGTAAACGATATATTAATTTGCATTATATAGAGATTATCAACTTTATCTCTCGCTTTCAGAATCCTGTTTCCTGTCGTGGACAATTGCCTCATTCAAGTAAAACTCCTTGAAGGGTGGTAAGTGTGCATTGTCCAGGAGCCTAAGTGACCACAGCTCCTAGTGTCACACACACACACACTGCTCGTCGTGGGTTAACACACTTGTCTATTTGAAAGTAGAATTGGTCCTAATTAGGAGACGTGAAGTCTATTTATACAGGTGTGGTGTCTCCTGTTGTTTAATGTTGTGCCTACTTGGCTACGTGACTGTCACTCCGGTCCAGCTGCAAAGTTTAATCGGCAGATGACTGATTTTTCATGTTCTCTTTCTGACCTCCCACGGTGTGGGAACGTGTAATTGCTAATTCATCATGTGAACTATAGTCTCATCAATAACGTTGACTATATTATTATTTTGTGTCATGTATGTATGTATGCATTCTATAGTTTTGTTTGAAACTAGGACCAATGTCGAACAGAAAAGGCACATGCTATTAACAGTTGGCAGTTCATCTGCATTGGGTTAAGTAAGACTCACTGCTGATGATAAAAACTGAATGTTTAAACTGGTCCAGCATTTTCTTGTTTTAAAGCAATGCTGCTGATAAAATAACTCCCAAAAGGCCATGTGGTCGATGGGATCTGTAAGAAAAAAAGGTGGATTTATCATGCGGAGCTACAGAATGTAGGAAGGTGGCATATTGTCTGCTTAGTTATTTAGTTATAAAATTGTTATTTTGTACCATAGTGTATTCCAGTGCACCATTCTCAAAATACTCAAAGTGTGCTGAATAGGAATTACATCATTGTACTGTGTTCTTAATAACAGACGCTACCTCTAAAATGTGTTCATATACATGACGGGGACAACACCTGACTGAACTGGCAGTGTTAATGACGCCTCTTTGCATGTGGTCATTAATTGTGTCCCACAACCTAAAGGCTGTTGCTGGTTTTCCTAACTTAATGTGTGCTTGTACGGCATACACCTTGAGTGCCTGTCACATATGCACATGTTTATCTTATTATTTCTATACACCCACTTAAAGTTGACTTCAATTGTTGTCGGGGCCAGTTTCCAAGACTTACAATTTCCTGTGGCGAAAAACGAATCCAACGTTAATTGTAAAACTCCATAAAGCAGTTTAAGCCAGAAAAACAGTCGTGTACTGTGCATATGGGCCACCGGTTTTCGTTGTAGATAAGCAGACTTGCATCTCCCTGTACATGAGGGTGGAACGATTTCATTTCAGAGGTGACAGATTGATTCAAGAACGTTTTACATTGTGGTAAATAATAACGCTTCTCGTGACTACAGGGGTGACATGAACCCTTAACATACAACATACTTAAAACATCGAAAAACATACATTCGCACAATTCGATGCATGTATCATAAGCTAAAGGTTTTGACGCTATTGACGCATTGTTACAACTCCACTACGATACGCTACTGGAGGGTAACTGTACAGTGTACATGAATGTACAAATTTACAGTAAATGTTTTTTGGTTATTTTAGATGTGCCTACTGTATATGTGACACTATTCGGTCAAATGAAGGAATCCCACAGTATGTGTGATGCAGTATTTCCTGGAAGCTAAGGAGTTTGCACTTAAGCCCTAATCCTTATAAAGGCAATTCTGGGTATTTAAAGATTAGGATAATACTGTGGATGGTACTTTTCATGGTATTTGCCCAGGGATCTGGCTGTTTTAATTGAAGTCAAAAAGTTGTGTCTTCATATGATGATTCGTTTAACCATTGAGCTGCTGTAAATCCAACAGTGCCTTCTCCATGTGTTCAGGAATCATTTTGATTGTTTTTACTCAGAAGGCAATGTGCTTTGTACCAATAGTGCGTAAGACATTACCACACGGCACTCTAATATTGTTGTTCCGTACAGCAAAGCTTTGCTGTACGTAGACAAAACTCTGCATTATCCCTTGTGAGAAACCCACACAACATGCAGAACGTCAAGGTTTAGCTATTTAAACATTTTTACAAACTTCGCTATGGCATTGTGTAAAACGTTGGCCTCTGTGTTGCTACATGAACTGAGTTGGTATTTGTTTTCTTATTAGGGCGTGGGAATTTTGTGTTAATTATGGTAGGAACCAAGGTGAGGGAAGGTATGGTCCCACTTGTGGCATGTCTTAACGCATCCTGGGGCTGTGATCTCACATCATGTTCATCTGGTTTTCAGAACCGAAAGAAATGTGGTATTTAAAGGGACTGGCGAATCAGCTGATGCGTTACACTCGCCAGCCTTGCTGCATCACATTAATGGGCTGGCCGCTTTATTGTGGGCTGTTACTTTCCCGTCCGTTTGTTGTAACCTAACCGTGGTACACTCTATGGCAAATGTATTCTTGTGAAAGCACCAAAGTTCATACTTTGTAGTCTTGTATCATGACTGCAGTATTAACATTTACCAAATAACCCATTGCCTAAAATATTTGCTTTGGGGAAAAAAATGTACTGTCCTTTCGTTGGAAACTTTCTTGGTTGTCTTTCATTTCACTGCATACAGTACTGACCAGCGATGATCTCGACTTGGATATAAATCACAAGAAACACAGTGTTGCTATAAAACATGTTTTAGCGCAGTTGCTCATCTGTGTGCCATTTTAAACACCATACCGGAGAAACACTGCCAACAATAATACAAAATAAAAAATCACCGAGAGAAACACGTGTCCACATAACCAACCATGGACACGCACAATACAGGCAGCATCTACATTACTTCTCAGTGTGCCCAAACTCTCGCTGAAGTTACTTAGAACGTTTTATTACCTGGGTCAGTATTTGGGGTCAGTACAGTCCCGTGGACAGGCCCTCCCTGGCGTGCTTCGGGGTGTGGGAGAGGAAGGGCAGAGGAAACGCCTGTGGGCCCCACAGTGGAAATTGGCGCAGCTTGGAAAGAATGCACTATTGTGTCAAGCCGTACTCTAGACGTTTGCGTATTGATCATACCAACAGCTAGGTGGTATTTAAGCAACTTTCTTTAACGTGAAAAAATGTCTCTGCCCAAGACCGACTTGTAATACTACAAACAGTTTTGTATTGATCTGGTGGAGCTGTAGAAAATGTGTGCGCTCTGGTATTGTGAAAGTACCGGATTATCAAAACGAATCAACATACAGAGTATTCTACATATTTTGTCTTCAAAAAGGATTTCTTGCTTGGAACTAAAATTTGTCAGAACAAAATCCAACAATTATGTTATTATGGCTTGGACATCCATACAATTCAGTAAAGTACTCTATCCAATAATTATTTACGTACACCATTTTGGTGTGGTTACAACACAAAGATGTAACTTGTGCAAACAAATTTTGGCTTGGCATTGCCAGCCACACTCATGGCTGACAAAAAAAAACCCGTTGCGCCCTGTGCATGGACCATTGAAGCAATGAGTTCGTTGCCCCGAGTTGTGATCATTTGCTCCTTTCTTATTGACCGGTTGACCTTTCCAGCCACTCCTTTTTAACTGTAACTGTTGCCTTGGAGACTATTTTACCAGGTCTGTTGTGCGTGGAATGGGAAAGATTGCTCATGTTTATCCTGGCAATGGCAGCGTGACTCTGCTGAGCCAGGCAATGGGAGGGTGTCATCTTGAAATGTGCATTGCTTAAGATTGTGATGTTTTCAGTGATTTCACAGCAATGTTTTCTTGCCATTTTTTTTCATGAGTAAATTTATTATACACATCACTTTGTCAATCCACTGCTGGAGGAAGGAATCTCAACACCATACTTTACTAATCTGGTCAGTGCAGGTTTGTGAAGGGGGAAGCTCCAGGACCAGATACGTGGAGTTTATTGGCAAATTGATCATATTATGCCTAATTGTATTTTCACGGTCAAGTCAATTCGTGGATAGTAGGATCCGTGATATTTGTACCCCACATCACTGCAGATAAGAGGAGTTGTACAGTACTGTATTAAGTATTTTAATGCTATGCATGTTGGCCTTCCTTGGCTTGACTGTAAAAATAACTACGATACTGTGGAACAACCAACAAAACCTAATAAAGCCCTTAATTAAACGAAATGTTACTTTTGATCGTTACTAATTCGATAGAGCACTCTTTTATTTTCTGAAAGCCTTTGGAAGTACGGTCATTTAATTAGCAAAATGTTACTACATTCTTTTTAATAAACTACATACCAATGCAATGGCCTTGTGCTGGTTTAGTGGTCCATCAAAGGTCTTCGAGGTCATGGGATTCCATTTCCCATGGCTGGCTTTTTGCCAGACGTTTAAAATTATAGGATAACTGTGTCTGAGCGGTAATCAGCTCTAAAGAGTGAACATTTAGTTCAAAACATAAAATTAGTCTTCTTGGTTCTTTCGGTAAAGTCTGTTTTTTATTATTTTATTATTTCCCTTCGACGTGATTTTACCGAAAGAACCAAGAAGATGAATCCCTGCAGTCACGAAAGCTTTAAATCGAAAATTTAAATTAGTGTGCCCTTGGTACTGATTGATCTCTGCACATACAGATTACCGTGCAATATCGCATTAGTTTATATTCAAGATGTGACATGTGCACAGTGCCTAAATATGTACTGTATTTGGTCAGACACAAAATTTCAAACTTTGTAACAATGCCAATTTATAATTTTAATGCAAGTAAAATAGGCCACGCTTATGAATAGGGCAAGTTAATCGTGTCTGACCCCGTCAAACACAGCCTGATGGAATTTAATTCTGTAGGGATTTTACACTGTGTATGCCACACAAAGACCGGATTATGAGTTTCGTGTGGTATAGAAACATGACTTTATGATATTTTTTTCTATTGACTTTCTTTTTTGCTCTTGCACTGTAATAATTCTGTAGAAAGTTTCTGTTGAGATATAGCTTCCATGTACATTACCATACACTTGTGTGTATTGTTATTCTTGAACTTACGATTTTTTAAAAGCTTGTTTCAAACATGCATTATTTTATGACATTTGTGTTCTATAACACATACTGTGTGTCACATACGTTTTTTCATGACAGTATGTTTGGTTTGTTATAAGATACTTTTGGTCAGGTATAACCATGAGTGCTTGCATTCACGAA